AAAAAATGATACATTTATTTGCACCAAGAATGCAGCTTAGCTCACAATCCATTCATTATTCCTTCAGTATTGAACCATCCTCAATCCAATACAACCACACCAGCAGTCTACAACTACTCCAATAGAATTGGTGCAGATTTATCAAACACCATCTGATATGGAGGACAAGTTGCTGATACAGACAAGGCTTGCTGATACAGAGCATGGTGATACAGAGGATGGTAATACAGAGGCTTGCTGATATGGAGGCTTGCTGATACAGAGGCTTGCTAATATGGAAGAGGCTTGCTGATATGGAGGCTCACTGATAGGGAGGATGGTGGTGATACTGAGGATGCTGATACGGAGGCTTGCTGATGCTGAGGATGCTGATACAGAGGCTTGCTGATACAATGGCTTGCTGATACAGTGGCTAGCTGATACTACGGAGGCTCGCTGATATGGAGGATGGTGACACAGAGGATGCTGGTGATACAGAGGATGCTGATACAGAGGCTCCTTGCTGATGCTGCTGAGGCTTGCTGATACAGAGGATGCTGATGCAGAGGACAAGTCACTGATACAGAGGCTTGCTGCTGTAATGGAGGCTCACTGATATGGAGGATGCTGTTACAGAGGATGATGATAAGATAGGGGAGGAATACTACTATTGAAGACAAGCTGCTGATATGGAGGATGCTGACACAAGTTGCTGATACGACTCCCCTGGTAAAGACCAATGTTGGATAGCTATTAAGAAATAGTAAGCAGTATTCCTATTAACACTGTTAGCAACACCTCCAGTACCAGTAGTATCGGGCCTTAGGTGATTGTAGTAGGAATCAGTAGTAATGAGTTCCTGTGGAGGTGTTTATTTCCAGTAGTGGTTCTAAGCTGTACTCTTAMTGTTTTGTTGTACCTTACTAAGTTCTTTCCAGTAGTTAGCACTCTTRCGAGGACTTGACAGTTCCTGGTGTGTACTCGTATCTCACTTTTTCAACAAGTTTTTTGGTATTTTCCCTCCGGYAGTAAGGCTCCCTCTTATAAATACTTGTGTTTTAGCAAGTTAGCAATAATGTGGATAATTTGCACAAGTGTAGGATTCTAYTACGGACTTTGCACCACTGTGTATTTATTATTGTATCATTTATTACATGTACCTGCAGTTAATTGGTAATAAAATTACACCTAGTACTACTAGAATTAAAGCCAAAGTTGGTCCAACCACTAGTGTAACTTTGGCAGACCAGTTCTAAGCTGCCAGAGCATCCTGAAGCTTTCCAATGACATGGATCTCTAAGAAGTAATAGTATCAAGAAACACATATCAGCCGGTGAAGGGGATCAGAGTTGTTTTTTGTCACTTGCTGGCCTATTTTCTAACTAGCAGCTGGTCTCGGAACTGTCCAATTTTGGCCATACCTGCTGTTAATGGAGAACCAGCTCCCCCCTGGCCCCTAATTGTGTAACAATGACACACAGCACTCTTCTTAACACTATGACTGAGCATATCCCCAAAGGGGATCTTACTTGAGCYRGTTCTTGAGCACTTTTAATGGCCTCACAAAACACTGTTTTGATCAGCCAACTTCAAAGCAACATTSGTTCAATTCAACCAAAACTCAAAATATTCACCTCCACTGGTGCWTAGTAGTGTACATAAGTATCTACATATGTAGGATTAGTACCMTGGTACTAAATCTACGTAYGTACGTCTCCATGGGCAGTGCTGAAAATTAACAAATTTGGGTCATTTCGCCCTATTTAATAATCCTGTAGTAGCTAAGTGAGATTCAAAGCAATRCAAACGKCATTCAATGAGCTTATTAAGCAGACAAGGAGCTTCATAATAGTACCCTTGTTGTGTTCATAGGTGCTCTGGTTGTCAACCAATCAGTCTCACCATGGTGAAGATGGTGTTTTAGTGATATTATGGCAAAATCCCTTGAAGTAAAATTACTTTTTTCCAAGTAGCGCGCGGTAGGCTTTTTACGGTTAACGCATTTTATTAKCGATTAACTGGTACCCGCAAAGTACGCACCGCGCACTGGCTTTGTGCAACTACATGCTACTAGTWTGTACTACATCCTACGGTACATGGTTGCATTTTTGTTGATATTTGAGCTTGAATTTTCAGCGCTTCGCGCACCCCTCTAAAATATTACTGAATKATACGTTACGGTACGTAGTCGTAATTATCATCCCCGGTCTACCGTACGTACGTAMCATACCCGTAGGTTACCCGCATGGGTCATAAAAATGTAAACCTATGACCCCTCCGTAACCACAYGGTACGGAACCGGTACTTCACCCTACCGGTACAGATAACATTATTTTCATAGCGTAGGATACAGTAATATTCGAACTAAKGTATGGTACTGTACAGTACCAAGTACTCGTACGTACTCATAAAGTACAGTACCGTACTCGTTCTTCTTGAAAATCGAAACGGATCGAATCGTACGTAAGTACCGGTACCATAACGGTAGCTGCAAGGCACGYAGTAAACCATACGTACTAACTCGTATCCAGCTTGTCCAAATCCCATCTGTCAAAATATCCTGGCACCTGGCACTCGATTATCACTTTTATCATCACTTGTATCACCACTTGAACGTGGAAAAGAGCCGTAAGGCACCTCGTACCTTCTCATGCGTTACTTCGTTTCAATTTTACTGGGACGTACAGTAATCCCTTCCCGCAAGCAGTCTCATGTAGAAAGTACAGGTACGAGTATCGTACCGTACCCCGTACTGGTGTTCGTACCGTACGAACTTCCTAGATGAATACTTCCTCAAGTAGTTGAAAGTACGAAGTATTTCACAGTTTTCTCTGATTATTAAAAATCTGCTATCGAATTGTAGAATACAAGAAAGTGAATAAAATACTGTAGTAAAGTAAAGTAACTTCAAAACATGGACAAAGAATCTTTACTGGCATCTTTGACAAGCGATAAACTTGTTAGCAATGCAAAGCCTGACGCTGCTGAACAGGATCTCTTCGGAGATATCGCAATTGATGACACTCCGCCTCCCGCCATATCCGCTTTGCTCGGGACGCCTAGTCGAGCCACTTTATCTGTAGAAATCAAAGAGGCCCAAACAGATGTTAATATCCAAGCACCAACCGTGCACACTGAAGCTCCTTCGATCGCTACCGAGACGTATCCAACTGCACCTTCTGCTTACGAACCTCCCGCTGTAGAGTCACTTCTTTCGCAAAGCGGGCTGCTCGGAGTAGCAGGCATTGCAAATACAGCTCAAGGCCTCTTTGATGAAGTCGACAATGATGATCGCAAAACGGCGGAAAAAAGAATGAAAAACGAGCAACGTATGCGCCAGGAAGAGATGGGAGATAGCCAGAGACAAGAAACTGAGACCCATCGCGAATTCGGCGAAGAACAATCTCGGATGCAGCAGCAGCAGCATCAACAATCTTTGGCTAATTCGGATATCAAGCCAGCGCCTGTTCAGGTAAATGTTGGATACTCGGCTCCGACATATGACCAACAATCAGCTATGATGCAAAGTGCTGTCATACCGCAACGTCAACTACACAATCAAATGGATGCGATGAGTTTAAACAACCAAAATTCATCAGGCTTCTACAGTGATCATAACTCTCCTATTCCCAAAACCTCTCTCGGTCATAGAATAGAATCACCGAATGGACACGTTGGACCTACTCATCAAAACACCAGCAGTTATTTTTATGGTACACGGGAACCGAAAATTCAGCATCAATCCCATCTACAGCAAAAAGGATATTCCAAGAATTTGTCTCGACCCTCTTCAACTGTAGGAATGCATAATTCCACTGAAGACACGAATTTGGGAAGAATCAGAAAGTTCAAACTGATGAAGCCTGAGGAAGTCGCTCCTTTATACACCAACATCCGTGTTACCGAGCCTATGTTGATCCAAAGTCAAAGCTTTTTAATAAGTAGCCCACCATATTGGTCTTATCAAATAACGTCACAATTGGTGGATAATCAAGGGACATGGTTGGTCAGACGTCGCTTTCGCCATGTTGTAGCCCTGGAAGATCGTTTAAGACAAGCTTGTCCTGGTAGTATTATACCTCCAAGACCGGAAAAGCATGCTACTCGTGCATTAGAAGAAGCATCTACACAGCAGTCTGCAGAATTTGCCGTGCAGCGTTCAAAAGAACTTGAACAGTATCTAAATGAAGTTGCAAGACATCCCGTGGCAGGTCACTCTGAAGTGTTTCGACTCTTCCTTGGATTGCAGGACGACATCGGTACAGCTTGGCCTGAAGTATCCACAAATGCACTCACAAGACTTCAAGCCGTTGGTGCTGGTGTAACAATGAGGGTAGCCGAGTCGACGAACTTGACAGCAGCATCGGCTCCCGCTCAAGAGTGGGAAGAAGACGCAGAGCTTCTTGGTCTTTGTAGTTCGGAGAGCTTACGTCTAGGCGCTGTGTCGCAAGCTGTTCCGAAATTAGAAGGCACTGTGATTGTTCTGCGTGAACAAGGAGACGCAGCTGGAATTTTGGGAATGGAGCTTTCAAAATCATCAAAGGTAKTAGATATTGACTATAAATTTTTTGAAGTGCTTTCCAGTGGCCTTCTACGAAATGGTCGCCGGACGAAACGTTTGGCATTGGAAACGAGTGCAGCTATGGAGAGCTTTCTTGAACAATACAAGTTGGTTAGGTACGAAAAAATGGCCATGCAAGATCGTCGCCAAGCACTTCAGCGTAAGGCGAAAGAACGAGGGCGGGCTGACGCACGAGCAGTGCACCTGAGTCAGCAGCAACGCCATCTTCAAGCAAATGGACAAATTTATCATTTGAATCAGTTGGAGCAGAATGCAATTTCGATGGATACTCAGGCACTTGATGCTGTCAGCGAAGCCAATGAAATTGGTGCTCGTCTTCGATTAGAGATCAATCGGGTCGCAATTGATAGAAGAATCTCATGGAATAATAGTATCAAAATAATTGCCTCTAGTATGAGGGAAGCGTGCAGTGAAAGAATGGCGATTTGGGAGTCGACGTTGGAGGCATTTGAAAACCTCACAAAGAATGTAGGGCAGATCGAATAGGCGCAATGAACAGAGGCGCGCGATTTCTTCTCAGTTGATTGAACTTGTGCCTTCTGATGAGATATGAATGAGTTCGACAACGAGATGATACTCCTCTTTTCTGAAACAAGAAAATTGATCAATCCCAAGAGCTTCCATTTAGTAAATACAGAGTACAAATAGTCATATGAATCTTTTTTATCGAATTTCTATTGGCATCATGTTTTGCACCACGCAATCTTGTTAAACAAAAGCAGACTCAGATTTGAATGCTATCACGCATGAAAAATCAAAAAATTATCTGGATACTGACTCGTTGACAGTAGGAAAGGTACTTTAAACGAGAACTGGAACTTTCAGCATGAAAATAATTGGAACTGGAACTTTTTTCAACGGCTGTTGTAAAATTATTAAAAATCATACCGTCCCCTAATATAAACTTACTTAGAACAACTTTTCCTAATTTCTTGTTTTCTTCCTTTGCCAACAGTAATTTGGCCGGCAGCTCAAATTCACCAAAATAAACAGTAATTTCATTCCTYCAGCACGGGCGCTTGGCCGGCAGCTCAAAWTCACCAAAATAAACAGTAATTTCATTCCTTCAGCACGGGCCCTGGCAAAATAACTGGACCATTATGGTACAGCAGCTTTGGCAGCTCAAATTCACCAAAATAAACAGTATTTTCATTCGCTCCAGTCTTACGGCAGCTTCACTTGACCAAAATAAACAGTAATTTCAGCACAGG